CCAATTTGTGAAAGAACCCGAGGTAGCGCCCGCTAATCGAGGCCTGATTATTTCGAATCTTGGCTGCTGGATGATAATATTATAGCGATAGTTACAATACATAATATAATATAATAATAAAATATAATTAAAAAAGAAAAAGATAAAAATAATAATAAATAGATAAATAGATAAATAGATAAAAATAAATAGATAAATAGATAAAAATAAATAGATAGTAATGATAATTTTTAGTGTTTTTACGTACGTGTACGCTCATGAAGGGTCGTAAGAGAGTTAGGAGGGGTGGATTTTTTTTTCCCCCTCCTGTGCGTAGCATGCCATATTGACTTTGTCAGCGGGCATGCACGGAAGGGGCGAGAGACTCGCGGCCGGTAACAGCCACATCAACTCGCGATCAGATAGAAGAAGAGTCAACCAACCTCCTTCATAAATGTGAAACTCCGAAGAAGAGAAACGAGAGCAACCCTGGGAGCCACACGGAGAGCTGCTTTCGTGCCATAGCAGCAGCAGTCCCTCGCTAACCAAAGGGATGAAAAAGACTTAACCAAAGGAGTGAAGAAGATTTGTCAATAGCTTTCACCTGCAGTTAGTACGGCTTAGCTCAGAATCTCATAATTCTACTAATAAAAATAAAAGAATATAATAAAATAATATAATAAAATAATATAATAAAAGAATATAATAATAATAATAATAACCTAGGCTACCAGCCGGGCCGCTCGGGTCACTCTATTTCCCAGGCGTCCCAGCCGTGCAAGGACCAGGGAAGGTCCCAGTCAAAAAAAAATTAAAAAAAATCCAAAAAATCCAGCCAAAAAAAAAAAAAAAATCCGAAAAAAAACTATGTTATGCAGAAAAATAAACTGAACAACTTTTGCCTCAGGGTTACATCGAAATTCTTTACCAAATTTAAAATAAAAATAAAAAGTAAAAATTAATGTTTTTTTTTTTTTTTTTTTTGAATATACTTTTGGCCCGGCCGGGCAAGTGGACCCGGGCCACTCTGGTAACCTAGATAATAATATTATAAATAATAATAATAATAATAAGCCTTTGTGAACGGCGTTCATCTGGAGGCAGTATGGATCATAAGTTCGAATCCTCATTACGCCTGGCGAAGAAAACATTGCAAGAGG